CTTTTATGATATTTCCATCTAAATATGTTATTCCATATAATACTTGACTTTTGAAATACAGAGCAAGTGTGTATGGGAACACCACTATAGCACAGAAGTGGCTGCAAACTTCCATCTCAAAGCTCGAAAGCGGTTGTCCCATTGTTTCTCCAAAGCTAGGCAGTTGAACCAGAAGCCTGGCTGGATGCTTCAGGATTTATGGGATGATTTGCAAAGGTAATGGCTTACAGCAGAGTTCTTAGAGAAGAGCGGAAAAAGGAAAGAAAGCCCGGCATCTGAGAAGGGAGGATCCTTGCACACTGGAGGTGCGATCAGCCTAGGGACGATAAAACGAAGAATGGTACGTAATTGCTTAATTTACTTTAATTTTCTTAGTATATGTATTCTGTTTATTAACTAAAATATTATGAGTTTTCAGGAAAAAAAGTTGGGGCGTCCGATGAACCAAGATGAGCTCTTCAAGGAGACTCATATTGTGAAGAAGAAGAAAGAGACGGACCAAGAAAGTGGGTCGAGGGCCGAGCCTCGACTGTACATGTAAGTTTTCACTTTTCATTAAGAATTTTGATTTACTTTATTAAAAAAAAACCAAGCACAAGTAATATAATAAATATATATATAAGAAAAAAGAAATAAAAAACATAAAAATCATAATATATAAATTACAAGGACATAATACCATAAATAATAATCAATCATATAAAAAAAAAAATATAAATATAAAAAAAAAAATATAATATAAAAATAAAATTAATCAAACTATAAATAATAAATAAATGATAAAAATAAAACAATTTAACAAAAAAAGATAAAAAATAAAATTTAGAAAATAGGGAATTCCATATTATTTTTCTTATAGGGTCGCTTCACAAGCTAAAGGTGGAGCAATTCATACGCAGTCAGCACCTAATGAGTCCGACGCGCCAATCAACTATGGACGAGATGTGAGAGAATGTGGACGCAGGCTGCTGGCGGTCCAAAAGGGGGGAAGGTATACGGGCTTCCTAATAAGAAATTCCATCGCTATAAGTGTGGAATGCAAGGAATAGAGACTTCCTCCCAAGCTGAGCAACTTGATGGGGAGAGCCTCTCCTCTATGCGGGAGACTGTGGCAAAGCTCACATCCGAGCTAGAAGCCGCCAAGGAGAGAGAAAGGCTTAGAGATATGCAGTACTCTGGCATGCAAGCTCAGTGCAAGGGCATGCAAGAGCAGATCAAAACTCTCCTAGCTTCTGGCAATTTTCCAATTCCCCGGTCTCGTGAGTCATCGCCAGAGGCTCGCCTTCCCAGTGCTCATTCCCCCCGTCCTCCCGGTGGTCATTCTTCCCATCATCGACAAATAGCCCATTCTAGATACCGTCATGGTGAAGAAAGTTCATCAGACGGTGATGATAATGATGTAGAGAACAATCTTTGAACTTATAAGTTTATGCTAGACAAATACAATTGGTTTTCGAATGGTTCTGTAATAACATTTAACTTATTAGTTTGCTAATTAGCTTAAAGTATAAAGTTATTGAACTTTATACTTTGTTCGTTATAATTGTTGTTGTTGTTGTCGTTGCTTGTTGTTGCTGTTGTTGGCATATTTGCCTATTTAGGATTTTGGTAAGCTGGCAGGTGGTGTAGCTGCCAAAAGAGGTAGTTCCTGCCAGCAATATACCAAGAAAAGCGACCAACTTTGGTCGCTATTTGATCGCATTTCTATTAAAAAAAATAATTTTCTGTGAAGTAGCGACCAAGGTTGGTCGCTATTTAACCCAGATTCCCCAAGTAGCGACCAAGATTGGTCGCTATTTACCAGAAAAATAACAATTTCTGGAAATATGGTGACCAGAGTTGGTCGCTTATTAATAAATAAAAAAATTAATTCATGTATTTAGCGACCAAGTTTGGTCGCTTATTTAAAAAAATAATTAAAAAATTTACAGTATAGCGACCAACATTGCTCGCCATTTTCCAGATTTTAAAATATAATATTTCATATACAGACCAAAGTTGGTCGCTACTTCATAATTAATAAATAAATAAAAAAACGAAATTTACAAAAAGGAGACCAACTTTCGTCGCAAAATTTATAATATTAAAATAATATAGCGACCAAAGTTGGTCGCCAGTGTCTTTACCGGAATATTTGGTCCTTTGACTTGAGAGACCAAAGCGACCAACTTTGGTCCTTAAAGTAAAGAGACCAGCTTAATATCGACCAGGCACGTTTGGTCGCTTTTTGGCCAATAAGCGACCAACACTGGTTGCTTTTTGTGGTCGTTTTTTTCCGGATTTCTAGTAGTGATAGGATACACGCGCAATGCGCGTACCCTAAGATTAGTACTATATTAAAAGCACGAAGGCCCTTAGCGAAATGTCGTTAAGCTTTTTTACCCTTTAAAAACTAATTTCACATTGGATAAAACTATAATTTAAGTTATTTTCCTAATATGTAGGTATAGTCCTTTAATTATTTCCTAATATTTATGAATAGTCATTTAATATAGTTTTGCCCTGCCCTGCCCCATTTACATATTTCCCTGCCCTGCCCCGTTTACTGTTTGCCCTGCTCCGCCCCGCCCCGCCCTGCCCGAATTGCCATCCCTAGGAAGCATCTAAGCTCCTTTTAATATAGAGCCCGTTTGGATTGGCTTAAAAAAAGTAGCTTTTAAGTAAAGTGCTTAAAAGCACTTTTTAAGTGCTGGAGCTGGTTTTATAAATAAGCAGTTACGTGTTTGGATAAAAGTGCTGGAGCTGAAAAAAAAGCTATTGAAGTGTTTGGTAAACAAGTGTTAGTAAGCATTTTTTCTATTAAAATTACTGAAATATCCTTAAAGCTGTTAAGCTTATAAAGAAGCTTATTACTATAATATTTTATTTTAAATAATATAAATACATAATAATTAATATTTTAATTCACTTCTAATTTAAAAAACTAAAAGTAGTATGAAGAAAACAAACAAAAACTAACCCAATTTCGGTATGAAGAAATCAAACGAAAACAATAATTAATATTTCAAAGAAAATTAGTAAAAAACAAAAAATAGAAAGCAAACAAACGTTACCATCTGGAGATATATGGAAAGAAAAAGAGTAAAATGAAGAAAGTAGATGCTGCAATTTTGGGAGGAAGAAGACAGCAGCAATTTCAAGTTTGATACTGAGGGGTCATTTTGAGATTAAGAAAAATTATAAGGGATAAGAATGTAATATTCTTGGTCAAAGCAATATGGCTTTTAAGCCAATTTAAAAAAAGTTGGGTTTACCCAACTTGTTGGTTTTGGTTTTTTTAAAGCAGATTTTAGCTTTTTTTAAGCCATTTTTCTAGTTGCCAAACACTTCAAAAGTTAAAAATGGCTTAAAAGCTGATTTGACCAGCTTTTAAGCCCATCCAAACGGGCTCATAGTCGACGGTGTTTTTGGGAATGCCTCATAACTATACTATATGTTCTAGAGCGGGAGAGAGCCTCTTGCTCGATTTTGGGACAATTGAAGACCCCTTCTCAACATCACTTTTACCTTTTCACCGCTGATATGTTGTTTTTGTTTTAACCACAACAAAAAATTATTAGTAATAAACTAGAGGTTCAAATACGAAAAAAACCTATCTGCATCGAGTGTTTACATCAAATCATACTAATTTAGTATAGTTAAGTAATAAATTAAAGTAACAATATGTATTAATTGTTGGACTTTAAGCCATTGGGCTTTAAAGTAGAAGAAGTGTGAATTGAAAATGAAGGGAAATAAAATGGAGGGAAATTGAAAATTTAAAGAAGTGAACTTTTGTCTTGCACTTTGTCCCTCATTGGTGAGGGACAATCACATTTGTGTGCTTATATATAGAATCACTTCTTAAAGCTCTTAAAAGGAGTTGAAGAGAATGAACCCTCACGCCGTCGTCGTCGCTCGCTCGGCTTCGGCTTCGGATTTGGAAAATGATCGATAAGATTATTTTTGGACAAAATTTATTTAATTATTTAATAATTAATTAGCTGAAAATACGCCAGAACCCTGCTGAAGGTTCAGAGGGCCTCTCTGGCCGCGGTTCTGCCGCGACCGCGGTAGAACCGCGGCAGGCTGATTCAGAGAGCCTCTCTGACCGCGGTTCTGCCGCGACCGCGGCAGGCAGCGTATTCTTCTGAAAAGGCACCTTTTCCAGACACCTCTTCTGATAATTGCCTATAAATTCTGAGGCAAGGCTCCATTTTCTACACACGAAAAACACTCCAGAACTTCTTTCTTTCTGAATATACTGCATCCTAATTCGCAGTCTCTCTCTCTCAAATTCGTAAGTGTGATTTTGCTCCGTTCTTTGAGTTCGTTGGTATCCTGCAGTTTGTATTGCCACTGTTGCAGGAAGGTTTATTCTGTTTTATTCTGGGAGGATTTAATCCATTACCTTGGCAACGTGTGAGGGGGTTAAAATTCCTTAAGGACACACAAGAAAATTGTGGACTCGGAATATTTCTTAAACTCTTCTGTTTTTCCAGTTTCTTTTCTTTTTCTAACAGTTTTTCCTGATTTTTGGTTTAACACAGTAACGCTCACATTAATTAACTATGATTTAGTGATAATCATGTTATAAAGACATGTATCATGTATTTCCTGGATTGATGCCAACACCAAATGCGAGTAAATTTACCTATCTCCATACACACAGCATAACTTTTGATAGATTTTTTATTTCAATTATCTCTTTCACATGCCATAGACGAATGTATGAGTGGATCCAAGCGGTTTTTGGGGGTCCCTTGTCTTCTCAAATCATACAACTTATTTTATGCTTGAGTTGAAAACAATTTAAAGAACAAGTTGTTATTTGTCCCCCCTCGGCCCCTCTCCATTGAAAGTCATTTACTTGTTTATTACTTCGATCGCGATAAAAATTGAAAAACATACAATCAATATTTACATCAAATTATATAATATAATTGTAGCAACGACACATTAAAGTGAGATTATATATCAATTGACGTATTTGATTAAGTGGTAAAAATTTATATGCACGATATATATCAAATTAAAACATCATGCTCGGGTATTTTTTTCTTTCACATTGAAAAACTTATCCTGTATGGACCCTACTACATTAGCAGCTTTCATTATCCTGCGTCCGGTACACAAGGATGTAATGTGGACAGTCTACCGTAATACAAGCATTAATGACTGTTTTCACGGTTCGAACCCGTAACCTAAGTGGCTAAAAATCCGGATTGCACATAATGTTCCAATATTTCTTCAAACGAAACAAAAAGAAAAAAAGAAAAGAGAAGGACCATTTTCGTTAAAAGAAAAAGAAAAGCCTTTGGCAACCAACAAATTAAAAAAAAAAAAAAAACTTAATATTTAAAAATATAAAAATTTTCAGTAAAGGTGATTAATAAAAGCCAAAGCATTACTAGCAAGTTTAGTAACATAAGTTATGGTACCACTAATCTTACTCTTCACAGCAGGATTCACTTTCCTATCAGAAAAACCATCCAAACAAGAATTTGCATCACTTATAACAGCACTAGCATAAGTCTTAGCATTATCCCATTGAAATTCCTTATCTGTATCATTAAGATGATTCATTGCACCAAGTGTTTCCTTCAACTCATACACTGCATCTTTCAAATCAGTAATGCAGTCTTTAATAGCAGCAGCTTCATATTTTGTAATTCCTTTCTTTTTTCCTAGCTCAGATACCATATCAGAAGCGTTTTTCGCGCCGTTTATGGCTATGTCAAGGGCAGTGTCACACAGTTTTATGGTGTTAGTTTGGATTGAAGATGAATAAGGGATAAGTGTTTTTATGCAAATGGGAGGGTATGTTGAGATTAATGTGCATTTGGATTTGATGAAGTTGGTGTAGTTTGAATTGGAGTTGGCTTGTGTGTGAGAGATTGTGAATAGAAGAACAAGAATTGGAAAGAGGATCTCCATTATTACTATATTTAGAATTGGAATTAATTGGAGAATTAATTGAGACTTTTCAGTGTGTTAGGGTTTCAGAGAAGGTGTACATAAATATATATAGAGCTCAGCTCGATGTGATCAGGTGGATTCTCTATTTTTTCTTTCTTTTGATAATAATGTCGGCGGTACTCGGATGTACTTGTGCACATTTCGACTATTTCATTTTGGGTCTTTGTTATTTTTCACCAACATATATACTGAACGGTTCTAGTCACCAAGCAAAGACGAATCCAAGATTTGAACTTTATGGGATGAGTGTGAATTCTACCGTAACTCATGATCCATTTACTAGGTTTGAAATCAATTTTCGTACTTATTGAGTGAATTTTCTGGTCCAAGTTTACACTTTACATCCACCGCTACCACCGAGGCTTATAGCTTGTCTGACCAAGCTTCTTTTTGGCCAAAATTTTTTTTTTCCTTAAGTAAAGGTGTTTGGCCAATTTTTTGTAAGACAAAAAAGTGTTTTTGAGTAAAAGTAAAAGTAGTTTTTGGGAAGAAGAAAAAAATAGTTTCTTCCCAAAAACACTATTTACTTTTTAAAAGTTTGTCAAATACTAATTGCTGCTCAAAAGTGCTTTTCAAATTAATTAGTCAAACACAAATTGTTTCTTACAAAAAGTACCTTTTGAAATCACTTTTGAAAAAAAAAAATACTTTTTAAAATAATTTGATTTTAGGAACCTACCCAAACAGGCGATTAGACACATAGGAAGATCCAAACAGGCGATTAGACACATAGGAAGAACACGTAAGAGATCTATCTTTTACACATAACATATCTAAAAAGGTCATTTTCTTAAAATCAAAATTGTAAAGGATCATGATGTACGAAATAACACGAAGAACACTTACCTTTTTCTAACTTTATTGAAACTCGAACCTTGGTATCTTATGATTTTCACCCATTTCATTCATAGCGGGACTATACCCTTAAATAGCACTGATTTCAACATTACAACATAATTGATGATGCATGTATGAACATAAGTCATTCAATAAAATAATGTTTTGTGCTTGTGCTAATAGTAGGGTATGTACTAATTAAATATGAGTTGTGCATGACAGATATGAACAATATTTCTTGCTGTCATATAGGGCAGCAACCACATGCAGATTCAAGTCGCATGAACTAAGTTTAATTATTGATTCATAATTTGATTAAGAAATTCATATATGATATATCAAGCAGTTAGAAGGGAATTTCATATATTGCAACATTGAATCCTGGTCAAAATAGGAAAGTGAATTCAATGGAGCTTTCAATATCTGTATCATTCTCTCGAATTTTATTAGTTGGAATGAGTATATATCTAGTATTTTAAAATGCCTCTTTTTTTGTAGTTTTATACTGTGGACATATAAGTCTTAGTATTTTAAAGAATAATTTAATCATATTTATATTTTATTTTGGAAAATAATTACTCCGACCTTTGAAAACTCTATCTCGATATTTTAATAATCAAAACAACACTTTACCTGCAATTTTCTTGTTCCCTTTCAAAATGCTTGCTTCTTTGGTTGCATGATCAAATCCCCTTAACAATAGGAAAACGAAACAACATTTCGAACAATATTAAAAAACATTTTAAAAACAATAGTGTAATTTCTCGTAGACGAGTACTTTATGTTATTTTTAAATATGTATTCATTATTTCGAAATTAATTTTACAAATATTTATAATTCACTCAAGAATGTAGATTGCTTTCTTTTCACTGTCCCTTGAGCTGAGAGTCATTGTTTTAGACAATGTGTACCTTCGTACATAGGTACACATTGTTCTCCTCATATTACATTTGTGAGATTACACTCGATTGTTGCCGTTGTTATTATTGAAAATATAAATATTTCAAACTTTATATTTCGATATCGTTACCTTTTTTCTTTCTTTCTGGACAATCTAAAACATCAAGGTCAAAAGATTTGGGGGTTGAGGGGGGGGGGGGTGGGGGTGGTGTTAAAGCCCATGTGCTTGCCTTACGAGCAAAGGCCACATGGAGATTTTGCAGCGGTATTGCTGCATGCCTACAAGTCAATACTCTCTGGGGCACATGATTGTATGGACTTTTGGGTGCTTCTAACGTGCCATCCCAAATTTATTTTTCCATCCCAAAATAAATAAGTAAAATTTAATACTAGTAGTTGAATATGCCTTTTGGGCGATGTTTGTGGTAATCATTCTCCTTAAATCAAGGCTAAAGCTATCGTATGGCCACTCATTAAAGGTCTTTTACTATAGCGTGTTTTGTAATTACAGTTTCCTTTTTAGGTCCCATCCGATGTGAGGTACATATTTTGGGGTTCTAATCCAATTATGCGGGGAGAAATTCAAAAATAGATATTTTTACAAGTGGTCATTCAAAAATAACCACAGTTTCAAAAGTAATCGAAATTTAGTACTTTTCATGTAAAGATAAATCTGAACGAAAATACTTTTACAATTCAGAAAATACTCCAGCATAATATACTTGAATTCTAGTATAATATACTGGAACTACAATACATTATGCTGAAGTTCCAGCATAGGTATACTAGAACTCCAGTATATTATACTGGAGTTCCAGCATAATTACTGGAGTTCCAGCATAACATACTGGAGTTCCAGCGTACTGGTCCAGCATAATATGCTGGAAGTTCATACACAGATGCTCCAGTCTCCAGTATATTATGGTGGAACTTTCTGCGTGTTGGAGTTCCAGCATAATATGCTGGAAGTTCATACACATGTGCACCGATCTCCAGTATCTTATGCTGGAACTTTCCATGTTGCAGCAAAATAGTGGCTATTTTTCTATGACTTCACAAAAGCTGGCTATTTTTAAATTACCAATCCGAAAATTGGCTAACCCGTGCTATTTTTACAATTATGCGTCATATAAAGCCATTATAAAGAGAGACACCCCCTATTAGAATTTTTTTATTCCCAATAATTAAATTCGAGATCTCTTGTTAATGGTGGAGGATCCTAACCATCTCGCAACAGATATTCATTTCTTAAAGCATGTAAATGCTTCCTTTACTGCAAAAAAAAAATCTCAAACAAATACTTCGTTCTAAAATAAAATATATTGAGTTGGCAGATTTTAACTTTTACATTGATAATGTAGAAGCTGAAACGACTCGGCCGGTCGTTTGAGAGTTATAGACCAATCCCCTATTAACTACTTTCCCCGTATCTTTTCTGCTTATGTGACTTGCTGGGAGGGTTTGTTTTTGGTTTCGGAGTGTTTTAGGACACTTAGTCCCTAAAACGGAAGCTTAAGCCTTAAGATTTTGACCATAGTCGGAACTGTGTGAAGATAACTCCGGAATGGAGTTCCGTCGATTCCGTTAGCTCTGTTGGTGATTTTTTGACTTAGGGGCGTGTTCGGATTGTGTTTTGGAGGTCTGTAGCTGATTTAGGCTTGAAATGGCGAAAGTCAAATTTTTGGAGATTTTGATCGGCAGTGGACCTTTTGATATCGAGGTCGGATTGGATATCTGAAAGTTGGAGTAGGTTCGTGGTGTCATTTATGACTTGTGTGAAAAACTTGAGGCCAATCAGACGTGGTTTGATAGGTTTCGGTATCGATTGTAAAAATTTGAAGTTTCAAGTTCCTTAAGTATAAATTGGAGGGTGATTCGTGATTTTAACATTATTTGATGGGATTTGAGGGCTCGACTAAGTTCGTATGGTGTTTTAGGACTTGTTGGTATATTTGATTGAGGTTCCGGGGCCTCGGGTGTGTTTCAGATGCTTAACGGATTGAAATTTGGACTTATGCAATTACTGAAGTTTCTAGTTGCTAGTGTTTTCGCACCTGCGGTGGGGGGACCGTAGGTGCGGGCATGCACGTGCGAGAGAAGGGCCGCAGGTGCGGTCTGGAGGAAATGGCCTGTGGGCGCTGGTGCGAGAAAGGAGCCGCATCTGCGCAACCACAGATGCGGAGAATTGATTGTAGAAGCGGATTCTGAGCTTTAAGTGAAATCCGCACCTGCGATGGAAATTCCACAGGTGCGGCATCACAGGTGCAGTTGGAAGACCACAGAAGAAAAGATCGCTGGGCAGAAAAGAAGGGGTTCGAGGGTTTTATCCCATTTTCAATTTTGGAACTTTGGCAGCTCGGATTTGGGCGATTATTTGAGGGATATTCAGAGAAAGCTTTTAGGTAACAATTCTTAACTCCTTTATGGTTACATTCCACTAATCTATGGTTGATTTCATCATTTAATTAAGAAAATTGGTTGAGAAATTTGGGGGGAAATGGTAGAAGTTCTTCAACTAAGATTTTGGGTTTTGATTGGGATTTCGATATCGAATTTGGATAATTTTGGTACGAGTGAACTCGTGAGTGAATGAGTGTTCATATTTTGTGACTTTTACCCTATTTCGAGACGTGGGCGGGGAGGCTTTTTAGGGCGATTTTGGAATTTCTTATTAAAGTCTTGATTTTATTAATTAAATTAGTCTATTATAGTTATATTTATGATATGTAATTGCTTTTGGCTAGATTTGGGCCATTCGGAGTCAGATATTCATGGAAAAGGCATTGTTACCGATTGATTGAGCTTGGTTCGAGGTAAGTGGCTTGCCTAACCTTGTGTGGGAAACTCCCCTTAGGATTTGGTACTGTTGTGATATGTGAGCGCCATGTACGTGAAGTGACGAGTGCGTTACGGGCTATTTGATGTAAAACTCCGTTTTTCACTGAGTAATAATATGTTTCACTTTAATTGAGTTATACTAGCACGTGTAATTATCCTGTTTAGCCTAGAATAACATGTCTACGTGTCTTAAATGCTTATCTGAACTCCGTGCAGCATGCTTAGTGGATTTTCTGCTTCTTCCTTGACTTGTACTTATTCTAAGCTGTAGGTTTCGTGTTATAGCTGTTATCTACATTGTATGAGCTGCATATTTATTGTGGGACTACGGAATGGTATTCCGGGAGATCCCCCTGCATATTTACTTTGGGACTACAGGACGGTATCCCAGGAGATCCCCCTGCACCTTTACTTTTGGGACTACAGAACGGTAATTCAGGAGACCCCCCTGCATATTTACTTTGGGACTATGGGACGGTATCCTGGGAGATCCCCCTGCACATTTATTTTTGGGACTACGAGACGGTACCTCGGGAGATCTCCTGTTGTTATTTCTGTTCACTGTACTGTCATGTTTCTGTGAATTCCTTCTTGTTAAATTTTAGTCTTTATTATACTGCGATATATT